AGAAGGAAAGGACACGAAACCGGGCCTTCTCAGTGGTGGCTCCTCACCTCTGGAATAACCTTCCTCTGGTTATTTGTGCGGCCCCTACGCTGGTCACTTTTAAGAGTCAACTAAAAACATGGTTGTATGTTCAGGTCTTTCCTCCTGTCAATATTTAATTCTTTCTTTATTTTTTCTTTCATTTATTATTTGTTTTATTATTGTATGTGTTATGGACTGTTTGTAAAATTCTTATGTTTTATCGTATACACCTTATTGGAAGCCGCCCAGAGTGGTCGACCAGACCAGATGGGCGGGATATAAATCAAATCAAATCAAATCAAATCAAATCAAATCATCAATAAACAAACAAACAAACAAACAAACAAACAAATAAATAAATAAATTGTCAAGTAACATTACAAACAGAGCATGGACAGAGTTCCTACTCCAGTCCTCTGAAGATGCCAGCCACAGAGACTGGCAAAACATCAGGAAGAACAACCTTCAGAACACAGCCAAAGAGCCTGAAAACCCCACAACAACCAACATTACAAATTCTTTTTAAAACTATTTATTATTACTATGACCATCAACACTAGTAAAAAGCATGAACATTCTTGGCCTTATTTAAAGAGTGATGGGAAATATATACACCAAGAGCTTTCAAACAACATCTTTTGCTTGTAGCTTGGTCACAATTCTGACCCAGTGACCCACGAGTCTTTTCTGAAAAGTTCCCCAGCTGCTTACAAATATAAGACATGTATAAGTTCAAAAACAAGACAAAATGTGTGTAACCACAGCATGCAACATTTTTCAAGATGGCCTTTGACTTGTAGATCTATTGCTCTAAAGAAAACCCAACTCTAAACTGCATGGACAACCTTTGACAGTAGCCTTGGAAAGCACTTGATGGAGGAAACATATTATCTTATTTCATTTAAACATCAGATTTTTTTAAACTATCAGAGGGATTTTAAAATATTATTTGTCAGATGACATTTTTTTTAAAAAAATGAATGTACTGCTTAGCAGTAAAAACAAAAAGCAGCACCAAAGAAAGCTTACAGAAAATAGCATTTTTAAAAAAATGTTCACAAATGCAAAGCCTTTCAAGCTAAACCATAACAAATGTGATTAATCTACGATGTAGATATCTGACAAGCAGAGATCCAAAGGGTGTAATTAGATGCCTGATATTTTACAAAACTGTTTAGTCTGCTGTACATTTAATAACAGGAATCTGGCTTATTCAGCTGGAGAGCTCCACTGAAGTTATATATTAGCCATGTTTTACTTCCATGCAATGATAACAGAACCAGAGGAAAAAGAGCAATAGGACTGCTGAAACAAAGGCTGCCTGTCGCCTCACAGAAAGGTTCAAATCTCTCTCACTTTCTTTTCCTTTTCTATTTTGATGAAGTGTTTTTTTTACCATGCATTGTCACATCATTACTCAAATGTGTGAGGTAGTTTGTGTCCTGGGCAGCTGGATTGATTGACTGATTGACTGACTGATTGATTGATTGATTGATTGATTGATTGATTGATTGATTGATTGATGTCCTAGAAAATGTGAAGGAGGGAAGCCCACAAACATTAAGCACTGCCAAGAGGATTTAAGGATTAGTTGACATGTGGCAAACCTACCTTGCTGCTAATACAGAACTCTGACACAATACAGAACTGTATCTCTCCTGAGTGAACCTATATTTCAAGTGAATGGACTTGGTTTTTACTTCTTGTTCATAATCATCCTGTTGGGAAGTGTGAACTTCTTTACACTAGAACTACACTGAGGAGAACGCCATATTAAGGCACCTATAATGGTCATGTTCTCTCTAATTTTCTGGTAAATATGGTTTAAAGAGGTGTGGATGGGTAAAACTGTTCCAACAACATGAGAAACAAGTTTCCATTCATCAACCCTGGCAATTATAAAGCTGCACTTTCTGAAATCTCCCATCAATAATGTATCATACATATTGCCATGAAGGATGTCACATTCTTAACACTCCAGCAGAAAATCCAGAGGGGGACAGTATGGAGGATCCAGGATCCATTCTTCATTGTACA